TCAGGGTCCTGAGATCAAGCCCCATGTCAGGCTCCACACTTAGCGTGATGTCTGCATCAGGATTCTCTCTCTCCCTCTGCCCCTCCCCCAGCCGGCTTGTGCTCTCTCTCTCTCCCTCTCTCAAATAAATGGATAAATCTTTAAAAAAAAAAAAAAGCAGACCAGCTGTGGGGAGGATAGATACTGGGATAAGCTTCAGCTTAGGGTCCCTGCTGTTTGCTGATAGGCCTCCCTCTCCTGTGTTCTGCACAATAGCATTTCCCCCAAAAGCTTCAACAGTATGTTGTTGGGGGTGGGGGGACAGTGGACAATGGGGGTAGGTGTACTAATAACTGGACTAGCAGTATGGATTGCTCAAAAATTATTTGATCCTCCTGCTTTACTACAAGTTCTATATAAACTGCCAACCCCTACCTCGGTCAAAGAAAAAAGAGAAAGAAAGGAAGAAAATAGAAAATGAAGATAAATGTAAAAAAGTGAAAATGAATAGGGATAAAGGGAAAAAAGAGGCCCTTCCAAAGGCAACAGTACCACTGGCAGCTGCCCAACTATAAGACGCGTGACCAAACTGTTAACGTTTCCATTCCTTGAATAAATACAGAATGTCGATTACGTTAGGCACTGGGGGAGGCACTGGGCTTTTGGTGGTTAAAGACAAAGAGTCTCCATCTCTCAAGGTATTCAGAATGAAATGGGGGAAATGGGCACTTACATAACTATGTTCTGCAGAGAGAAGTGTTACAAAGAGAGATGGAGAAGGGCAGGTCAGGGATGCCTTCTAAAGGAGCATTATTTAAAAGATGACTAATTGCCTTCCAGGTGAAGGAGGAGGGACTGCAGGGAATGTGGAGACACAAGGATGAGAGTGGTGAAGAAGAACATGTAGGAGGGAGTGAATGCCATGGTTTTGTAACTGGGAATGTCGCAGGGATTAAAGTACGGATTAAATGTCAGGGACGAGTTTTGACTATTTTCTATTTTTCAAGAAGAAAAGATTAAACATTTCTGAGTAAAATAGTATAATAACTTTGCTTCCAAAAGATTAAAGTGGTGGCTATGCGGAGACTGTCTGGAATTAGGGCCAGAGTTCAGACTGGAAGGTCAGTTAGGAGGCTACTGAGACGGCCCACAATGAGAGATCATAAGGGTCCTTGATGAATATATTGGTTATATGTGCCCAGAATTCATGTCCCTTTCTTTTGGTAACAGAACTCTCCTTTTCCACAGGGGAATCACCCCTCTGCCATATACTCTGGTCCATGAAGTTCCAAGAAAGTATACCCTTGCCTCAGGATCCAGAGTTGGGCACATAATTTGGGCCTGACTAAGTGGCATATTCCATACCCTGATTATAAGAAGGGGAACATAACTCAGGTCAATCCAAAAATACTCAGCCTCCAAATTTTTGTTTTTGTTATACCTATTGGGATTGCTTTGTTTGTTTGTTTGTTTGTTGTTTTGGTTTGATTTGGTTGGGCTTGCTTAGGGTTATCCTGTAGAAAAGTCTGAATGAAGGCAACACATAGGGAAGAGGAGCCCACAGAGAGGGACAAATTCTTATTTAAGCACCTATACTTGGTCAGGCCTGAAGCAATACTATTCCCTGGATTTTTCAGTAATATAAGCAAATATATTTGGAAATGGAGAAAGAAATAAAGCTCCCAGAGAAAAATCAGGAACAAAATTCATAGGACCTGGAAACTACCTGGATAAGGGGAATGAGGAGGAAAGCAAAATTTCACTTTGAGGCTTCTGGGTTTGCTGAGTGGGAAATGTTATTAACTGAGATAGAGAACAGAAGATGCACCAGTTTTAACCAATGGACTGAGCTCAGTTTGGAGACACTAAAAAGGATTTCAATACTTCAATTTTGACTCTATCTGGATCACTGCACCAGAAAAACTGCATATAGCTGGGTTCCAAGTTCAGACTGCACAGCCCAACGCAGTGTAGGGTGGCAGAGTAAAGCCAGAAGAACCATTCCTTTCATCATTTAGTAGTTTCACCGAACAACCTCCAAATGACTGGCACTTACTACCCAACTAAAGAAAGAGAAGCATTATCCCTAAGCAGTATAGTGTTTTGCTAGAGTGATAACTAGCTAGATGAAAATTAAGGGAACCTATGAAATAACTAAACTCCAAGGATAAAGTGAAAAGCTAGGCTAACACTCCCCATCCTCAGAGTGGAGTGCTGAACTCAGAGAAGCCATGGAAGGAAGAAGAACAAGAAGTACAATTGAGAACAACAACCAGAAAAGCACATATCCACCTTATTTCCAGAAAACCGGGGAGGAGACAGCAAGTAGACACTTTTTGCACTTAGCACATACCAAGCACACCATGAAGAGTTTTGTGCAAATTATCTTTTCAAAATCTCACAAGTTACCAGTCAGGAGGGCATTATTTTTCCTACTCAGATGGATGAGCCAAATTAAGCAGTAAAGCTAGGATTCACAGGCAGGTCTACCTGGTTATAATGCACATTTCACTACATCAATTGCTTTCAGAAAATATATTGATATTTTCAGAAATACATTGATAAGTTTATCCTTTGTATATAAAAATGATGCCATCTCAGAACGCCTGGGTGGTTCAGTTGGTTAAGCATCCAACTCTCGATTTCAGCTCTGGTCATGAACTCAGGGTCATGGGATCGAGCCCCACATTGGGCTCTGTGCTCAGCTCAGAGTCTGCTTGTCCCTCTCCCTTTGCTCCTCCCCGCTAATGCTCTCTCTTTCACTCTATCAAATAAGTAATAAAATCTTTCTTTTTAAAAGATTTTATTTTTTTTATTTGACAGAGAGAGAGAGAGAGAGAGTGGGAGGGGTAGAGGGAGAAGCAGATTCCCCGCCTAGCGGAGAGACGGGAGACGGATGCGGGGCTTGATCCCAGGACCCTGGGATCATGTCCTGAGCTAAAAGCAGACGCTTAACTGACTAAGCCACCCAGGCGCTCCAGTAAATAAAATCTTTTATAAAAAATGATGCCACCTCATCATGAAGATTTTTTCTGAACTGGGTATTTTATTGACCATAGAAAGTTAGGTTAGGAGTGACCCAGCCACAATGCCTCAATTCTCAGGCACCAGTATGTATATGCCAGTTGTCTACTTGGAGCTAAGAGGGCCTTGGTGCCATGAAACTTCATCAAACAACACATTCTGAGTTAACTCAGCCACCAACAAAGAGTAGGCTATAGCAACAATACTAGTGACCTCGTGGGGATAATCCCACTGCAGAAATTAAATTTTGACTAGAGTTGCTTGGTTAAGAGGCAAGCATTAGAGGGGCACCTGGGTGGCTCAGTCAGTTGAGCGACCAACTGGGGTTGCAACTGAGCCTAATGTTGGGCTCCACAATCCACGGGGAGTCTGCTTGGAATTCTCTCCCCCTCTCTCTGCCCCTCCTGTGCTCTCTCTCGCTGATGAATAAATAAATCTTAAAAAGAATAAAAGGTAAGCATGGGAAAAATAATAGAGAGAAAAATATACCTGCAAAGGAGCTGTCCCTACTGTCCTGAACGATAGGCAAAGAATACTATAAAATTCATTATCTTATACGTTTCTTTGTCCCAGTATATTAACATAATGAGGCAGCATAGCATAAGTATTAAAAGTTCAGACTCTGGAGCCAAATTGCCTGGGCTTGAATCCCAGTTCCACCAGGATTCACTGTAGGAAATTGGCAAGTTATTTATCCTGTTCATGTCTCAGCTTCCTCATCTATTAAACAGGGATAATAATAATACCTGTTTTGTTTGGCCGTCATGAGAAATAAATAAATTAATACTTGTAAGGCTCCTAAGTAGTGCCTGGCATGTGATAAGTGTTTATTTAAATACATCAAATAAATAACTAACCCAGCTAGATGTGGAGGAAATGTGAATTTGAAATTTCCAACCCAGCCTCTCCCACATGAACTGGTAAAGGAAAAGAAAACTGAACCAAAACCTTATTTAAAATTTATATGGGACCTTTCACACGAAGCATTTCACAGACATCTGGAGGAAGAATAAATAGCCAAATATACATAAGCAGAAACTGAAACGTGGAAAAGGGAAGTAAGATGTTCAATTTCACTGAATTCATCTTTCATACATCTCAGGCAGGAACCCAGGCTTGTCAGTCCACATTTTGTACACAGGCCACAAGTTAACAGTGTACATAAAAGAGGAGTCAAACTTAAAAACAGCCAGGTCTTCACCTGGGCACAGTATCTCATTAATTTCCCCCCTGCTGATGTTTTCTCACTGAAGCAAACCTAAATATGGGAAGCACCTATACAGAGAACAAGTCACCATTTAATCAAAGTAGTTTGTAAAATCTTAAATCCTCCATTTCTAAAGGGTATGAACAAGATGTCAATAGTTTCGTATAAATAAATGTGAAATTGCTAAATTGCATTGTGGGGAAAGAGAGAAGGGTTTGAAGACGAAAAGGAAATGACAGAGAGATCCTGCCACTCTGACAGAGGCACGCACACAATTTCTAGTTTCATTAGCAAGCCCGCTCCCCCACACCATGACCATTACAATCGTCCACTTTCATACACAGGCCCTCCTTCTCGTCGTCTTCCTCACAGTCATCTCCGCCGAAGCTTCTTTCTAGGCCATAGTGCCTAACCTTTGCGCCCAGAAATTCTCACAACACCAACCTTCTTAATATTGGTCCCATATGCTGTCACCTCAAGTTTCACTCAGGCTACCAACATTGTGCCCTACTCCTATCTATAGACTCTCGCCTGCAAAATCTCACAAAAGCACCTCTCAATAGCTACCTCCTCTCCTGCTCCCCCTGCCCTCTGCATATCATACCCACATTAAACCCGTTCCCGTCCTATTCACTCCCTGCCAGTCCTTCTTCTCACAATTTCTTCCCAAACAGGTCGCCCAAAGTCCATCACGCCCGACACTTCTGCCGGTGGTCTCCGAGCCCTCCCAATCCTCCCGGTGGTTCGGTGCACCATCGGCCTCCGACCCCCAGCGCCCTTCCCAACCCACCGGCTCTCCTCCGGCAGGCGCTCCTCGCAGCCGCCGAGCTCCATTCCCGCGCCCTCTGGCCGCATCCGGGGCTACGAGGTCGCCTCCTCTCTAAAGAGAGGCGCCCCTGCCGCTTCGTCCCTAAGGGCTCCCGAAGCCCTAAGAAGCGGAGGAAGGCACCCTCGGTGGGTGGGCTCAGGGTGATGCACTACACCCGGGTTGACAGCAGGAGCGGTGATTGCTGTCTCAGCTGCGGTTTCTAGCCCTGCCACCCCCACTTCCGGCTCCAAGAACTACAACTCCCAGCAAGCACTTCGAAGACTCGGCCGCTCCCGGCATGCTCCGCCCGGTCCAATCCGAGGCCGCGCTCGCGGCGAATGCCGCCTCTGGCTGCGTGCTCGCGACCGCACACTAGGCGGGGAATACCAGTGTTAGGTTGTGGAATACGTATGGGTGCGAATCCTTACACACCCAGGTCGTGCTTCGCCCTCGGGGCCGGACGGGATCAGAAGTTTAGACTAGGAAATAACGCTGATCTTAATCCAAGTACAGTTAACCCCTCTTCAGCCTACCCGGGTTTAACACCTATCGGTGATGTTTGGGGACCTCAAGCATTTTAATGAAGAACTCACAAACTGAAGAGCTCAGCTTGCTTTGGAATCGCAAAGGAAAAGCAGGAGGGAAAGGCTTTGCGGGGAAGTTTTCCGGCAGAACTGGTCAGAGCAGAGTTTTTAAGGATGAGTATGAATTAGCCAGGAGAAGAGAAAGTGGAAACAGTGGCCCGGGCATAAGGAAGCATGCTGGTTTGGGAAGTACTGGTTCTGAGTAGTAATAAGACCTGGGAAGAGGTGGGGAACAGAATGGTGTTGGTGAGCAAGTACCCTAAATCGTGAAGTGCCATTTTAAAGAATTTGGATTTTATCTTTAAAACAATTAGGAGCAAATTAAGAATATGCAAATCAAGAAGTGGTTTGACCAAACTTGCTTAGAAAACTACTTTTGACAATGTGAAGAGGGAATGAGGAATGTACCATGTTGGAGGTAAAACTGGAAAAATGGATATGAGAGGAGATTGAAAATCCCCATAGAGGCCAAGCAAGTAATGCCAATGAGAAAAGTGAGCTGGTTGTTGGAGAGTGGCAGAAACTCTGAACTGGAAAGTTCGTCCAAGAAGGGAGGTCTTACCCTTTCTACAATTGAATGTTGCAAAATGGGTATATAGGCCTAGAATTGCCTAATATTCTGATTTTGCAATAGAAGCTGGAGTCTGCATTTTTAAGTACAACTTTTAATTTTTAGAAAAAATCGGTAACAATTTTTTTTTTATTGTAAACATTACACAGTCCAAAAAAAAAAAAAAGTTTGTAGGCTAAATGTGCCTTTGGATTACTAGTTTGCAAGTTCAGGCCTGAACTGGGGCAGTAGGGAATAAGAAGGTTGGGATTAGTGCAATGGTAAAGCAATAGAATCAGTACTACTCTGTGAGAGGGATCTCTAGGTTAGCTCCGTGGAAAACCAGTTACTCTATTAAAAATAATATATGACTTAAAGGAATTTTCAAACTTGAGAAAACTTTTTCGTGGATTAAAAGTGAAATGAAGGAGGTTTTTAATGCAAGTTATGATTTTCAACTTCCATTTATATAAAAAATACACCTCGTTCAAACTTTTTCATATTATCCTACTAAAGGGTTATACTTTTTTAGAAAGTGGCAGTGTTAATCACTGGGATTTCACTTCTATTTCTACGAATGTATGATCTTTATTTTTTTTAAAGATTTTATTTATTTATTTGACAGAGAGAGATCACAAGTAGATGGAGAGGCAGGCAGAGAGAGAGAGAGAGAGAGAAAGGGAAGCAGGCTCCCTGCTGAGCAGAGAGCCCGATGCTGGACTTGATCCCAGGACCCTGAGATCATGACCTGAGCTGAAGGCAGCAGCTTAACCCACTGAGCCACCCAGGCGCCCCCTATGATCTTTATTTTTGGCAGGCAGTATAATCCCAAAATAACACCACATGATCTTAGCATATTTACGTGAAAGCCCACTTTATCAGGAAATTCTAGAACTAAAATTGCAAAATGTCTCAGTTCTATAGTAAAAGTTCTGAGAAAGGTTACACCCAAGTCTGGGTTTAAACATATTTAAAGCAGTTAATAAATGTGATAATGATTTACATTAGCCATGTGTCCCCCTGTCCTATCCTTCTGCTTTCCCTCACCCCAGATGGCCATATCCTGAATCCTTGCTTTATGATTTCACTTTTTCCCTTTTTATATAGTTTCTTTGTATCAATTTATATACCTAGAAATTATTATTTTTTTAAATTTTTGTGTTTTAATTTCACAAAAAGTATAGTGAGCTGTATTTATTCTTTGAGGCCTTGGGTTTTTTTTGCTTAATGTTACATTGATAAGGTTTATTCACATTATCATATGTCACTGTAGTTCATTGATTTTTGACTGCTGTATAATAGTTCATTGTGTGAATACAGCAGTTCATTCATGCTGTCTTTCATTGATAAGCATTTGGGTTGTTTCTAGGTTTTTGCTATTGTAAACAGTGCTGCTATTAATATTATCTTACTGTACCCTCTTGTATGTAAACAAAGGTTTCTGTTGGGTACATACCTAGAAGTGGAATTGCTAGGTCATAGGGCTATTGTCTATTCTAGCTTTTGTTTTGAGTGGTGGGTTTGTAGGTACACAGTTTTCAAAATAACTAATTAGTTATGATGTCATAACTAATTATAAGTGGTTATTTAAAATAACCAAAAAAATGAAATAAAATAAAATAATTAACTAATCAGGGCCCCTGGGTGGCTTAGTCATTAAGCAACTGCCTTTGGCTCAGGTCATGATCCCAGGGTCCTGGGATCAAGCCGCCCATCCGGCTGGCTCCCTGCTCAGTGGAAAGCCTGCTTCTCCCTCCCCCGCTCCCCTTGCTTGTGTTCTCTCTCTCGCTCTCTCTTTCTCTCTGTCAAACAAAAAAATAAAATCTTAAAAAAAATTAACTAACCAAATAAAAATGGGCCATGCATGGAAGATGATGACCAAGGTATGTCATGAACCAAGGATTGTTAGTACAATATTGTGCTTCTGAGGCCCAAATGCAAAAATTGTCAAATATTTTTTGGCAAAAATTTGAGTCCCAAATGCAAAAATTTTGGCAAAAATTTTTTGGCAAAAATTTCTAGCATGAGTGTTCAATAAGTCACATAAATGTAATGGTCTTACTTAGAACTGCTTGCTGAGGTAATATTTTAGAAGTCAAAAAACCTAAAGAATATTGTTTGATCTTGATCAATGTTTTCAAGATCACCAGGATGCTAGTTTTATACAAACAGTAATAGATCCTAGAGTACCAATGGCAGAAGGCCAGATTCACTCAAGAATCAATTATTCAGGGGATGCCTGGGTGGCTCAGTGGGTTAAAGCCTCTGCCTTTGGCTCAGGTCATGATCAAGCCCCACATCGGGCTCTCTGCTCAGCAGGAAGCCTGCTTTCTGTCCTCTCTCTACCTGCTTCTCTGCCTACTTGTGATCTCTGTCAAATAAAAAAGAAATCAATTATTCAAATAATGGATTTTTAAAGCTCATTACATTTACCAATTTGCCAAAATTTGGTTTCAAGTGGTCTTTTTCAAAATTTATTTATATTCAATTTAGTTAACATATATTGTATATTAGTTTTATGGATAGAATTGAGTGATTCATCGTTTGCATATAACACCCTGTGCTCATTACAAGTGTCCTCCTTAATCCCCATCACCCAGTTACCCCATCCTCCCACTCATCTCCCCTCCAGCAACCCTTAGTTTGCTTCCTAGAGTTTGGCATCTCTTCTGGTTTGCCTCCCCCTCTGTTTTCATCTCACTTTAAGAAGTAGACTTCTTAGGGGCGCCTGGGTGGCTTAGTGGGTTAAGCATCTGCCTTTGGCTAGAATCATGATCTCAGGGTCCTGGGATTGAGCCCCGCATTGGGCTCTGCTCAGCAGGGAGACTGCTTCCCCTTCTCTCTCTGCCTGTTGCTCTGCCTGCTCTCTCTCTCTCTCTCTCTGTCAAATAAAGTCTTTAAAAAAAAAAGTAGTCTTCTTAAATATATTAAATATCAGTTATATTCATGAATATGTTCTTTTCATTATATTCACTAAAATTACTCTTAGCAACATTTTAAAAAATATTTAAATTTTAAAAGCTAAGGAATGGCTCCCGCTGGCCAAGTCAAATGAATTTGAGCATCAAAATGAGTTAATCCATGAAATGTATACATATCCACAGTATTTTAAAAGGCAAGCATGGCCCTTACACTCTTTACCCCTTTACTTTTCAAAAGATAATTTTGAACACAGGATGAGTCTGAATTTCTATGGAAACTTACATGCATTTATAAATAAGTATGCAAATAATAAATAAATAGAAAAGGGAAGAAAGAAAGGGGGGAAGGGAAAACTATTTTCCGCAGTAGAATGTCAAGTAATGAATGCAGATGAATGATAGACTTAAAAAATCACTATTTTGTAGCCATCACTGTAATAATTGGTTCATTCAAGAATCGTGGATGGATGCTAAAGCCATTAGTGAGTTTGTTCTGAAGTAGGATATTTATACAGTCTCAAACTATCTCCCCACAGATCATTTACTCACTAGAAATAAGGAAAAGAGGTACCTTTACAATGGAGAAATTGGCAGACATAGCCTTAAGTGATCAAAGTTAAAATTACCCATAAGACAAGATGACATCTTGTGCCTCCTAATGTTAAGTCCTGAGAAGGACACAACATCACATACATAGTACTCGTGATAAAAGTGTATAACCTGAATTTAATCACGGGCTAACAATAAGACAAATTAAAATGGAGGACAGTCTAACAAATGCCTTCAATCTTCAAAAATATAAATATCATACAAAACTAAGAAAAGCTGACAAATTTTATGAGATTAAAGGAGACAAAAGAGGCAGGACAAAGAAATGCAAAATGTGAACCTGGGTTGGATCTTAGTTTGAAAAAAAAAGTTATAAAAGATAATTATTTATTAGAATAATTGGCAAAATTTAAATATAGACTGTACATCGGAGAAAGAATTGCATCAATGTTCTATTTTCTGAATTTGATCGTTTTAGCGTGATTATGTAAAAGAATATCCTTAGAGATATATTCTATATGATGTCTGGAATTTACTCTCTTATTGTCCAA